GCTGGGTCCCAGACAGCACAGGGGGCACCACGGCTCGCAAACCTGCTCCCGGGGGTTCTGCGCCCGGATCTCCTGACCCCGACCCCGCCACACCCACACAAACACTGCGTGGGCCGCTCCCCGTCCAGCCTCCTCCACGCCCTCGGCGGCCGGGTTGCCGAGAGACTGGGGAGTCCCACGGTCTCGCGGACCGCGTTCCGGGGCTCAGAGCAGTAGAAGCCGCCGCGCCCCTGGCACGACGCTCGGCGTTTGCATTGTTTTCCACGGAGACCTGAGAGGGGCCGGGAGGGGTGGAGGGAGAGGTGTCGGAGGTTTAGGGTTACAGTCGCGCACCAGCGCCTCCTATGGGCGAGAGAGAAGCGCGGCGTAGGCAGCGGCTAACCGGGAAGGCCCGGGCGAGTGGAGGCTCTGCCTCCTCAGCTTTCAAGTGTGGCCGCCTTTAGTGCCCACCTTCCCGACGCTCGCCTTTGCCTCGGCTGCCCCCGCGCAACCCGCGTCCGTCTGCACCTCTCGATCCCCTTTCGCGAGGGAGGGAAGCAAGGAAGGATAACGTTGTAGAAGATAGGGAAGGAGGCGCGCCAAGTCCGAGGTTCCCTTTTGTCCCCTCTTACCATCCACTTTCCCAACTCATCCCTGGTTCACCGTTCGGTTTAAAACAAAAGGAAATGTCGCTCTGCTGTGATTCCAGTGCGGCCAGGAAGAGCAGTTTGTCCCGGACCCTGCATCCCCAGCTGGGCGCGACCTCACAACATCCCTGCGCCCCTTCGCTAGAGGTTGATGCTGGGGGCGGGGCGGACCCCCCGGGTGCAAAGGAGGCTTACAGCCGCACCTTTCGGTCACCTTTCCAGCTCTTGGCTCTTTCCCCAGAATCACCAGTTTAGTATTAGCACCGAGTAACTTGGTCTCAGCTCCCAGGAGGCCAGAAGGAGCCCCACCCACCGGGGTCTGCGGGAAGGCTCTGCCACCATGTCCCCAAGAAGTGAACCGCCCACGGCCCGTCCCCAGGAGGCACAAAATGGGCCCGCCTCGGCGCCAGACGCGTTTGCAGCTGGAAAGCCCAGCCCCCCAGCCCCTCCCCTGCGTCCCTCCCCACCTCCGCCCCGGGCAGAAAGCAGCTCCGGGGTCCAGAGCCGAGAGCCTGGGCTCTGCGTGCAGTCCCGATCTCAGGATGGGGGCAAGAACCGGGCAGCGGACACCAGCAACGACCTGCTCACCCTTGGCGCCCCCCCCACTCCCTCCCTCGTGAACAAGGTCCAGCTGTACTCGGGTCAGTCCAAAAGCAGGACTCTACAAGAACTCCAGAGCAGGACTGTCCAGGGCCTCATAGCAGGACTGAACAGGCCTCTCATCAACAGGATTATGGCAGAGGCTGAGAAAGAGGAACTGCACCGACTGGGTCCGTGAGGGCAAGATGGGGAGAGGGGTTATGTAAAAACCAGAGCCAGCAAGGCCGGGTCGCCCCTACGCCTCCTCCTGCGATCCAGGGTGCTCACAGGGATTTGGGGTAATCCTGCGAGATGAGCTACTAGGCATTGTGGTGCCCCATTTGCTCTCTTACTCCAAAAAGCTGCCCAGTAGTGATCGGGAGCCACCAAGGCAAAGTGAGTGGGTCCAAAACATTGAGCAATTCGGCCACGGAGCCAAAAAGCCATTTCCCACACCGCCCAGCCCGGGGCTTTTCCAGGCAGCTCGGCCTGGCTCGAGGCGGCCCAGATGTGATAGGGCCGTGCACGCTTCCTTCCTGGCCTAGGTTTTCCTCCCTTCCTCGGAGATGGACCAAGTGGCAAGTTCTTCTGGGCACTTTCCGCACATCCCGAGGCATTAGCGGGGCCGGGACAGCCTATGGCGAAATGGGCGCTCAGGCTGCAGAGAGGCCGACAGCAGACAGTTCAGCAATTTCTTTCCTGGCCAAGGCGCAATGTTGGGCAGCTAAGGCACACCTGGCCGGGAGGCCCTGGCTCCTCCCGCAGCGTACTCGGGTCAAGCCACACTCCTTTTCCCTGAGGGCTGGGCAACACCCTTTCCAAATAGAACCGCTGGGCCCAAGTTTCAAATCCAAGTAGACCCGTCCCGCTCCCCTGGTGCCACCGGGAGGAGTTAATCTCAAGTGAAAACCCCGATTTCTACAGGGATAGACGGTGTAGGAAGTTGGGGTGCGCTTACATGGTATCCAAGTGGCCAGGGAGGACAGCGCTGAGAGAGCAATAGAGAAAGGGGGCGACCAGGGAGGGTGAGGCAGCGCAGGCAGCCTGTGTGTGCCACGCACCCCACCGCGGACCGGAGCAAGGAGGGGAAGAGGGTCCAGGGCTCCTCCAGTCCCCGACGCGGTGAGGGCCACTGGCCCCTCACCTTTCTGTCTCACCTGCGGCCACGTCCGTCTCTTCAGAGGAGTCCCTAACTTCCTCACGAGAGGTCAGCCCCTCTCTAAGACCTCGCCTCTTTCCTGCTAGTCGCCAGGACTGAGCAGCCACAGCACAGCCTCCGCGGTTCGCCTCCTGGAGGAGGAGGCGAGGTGAGACGGCTGGGGGTGGGGACCACCGCGCACAGCTCGGGCCCCTTGGAGTGCAGCTCGAAATTCCTCAAATCCCAGTTGCTGGAATGCGAAGCCACGACGACTTCATCACTCGGGGCCAAATGTGTTTGTCATTACTCCAGATCACTCGCCCGCGCCGCCGCCGACGCCCCTCGGGA